TTTACGGGAAATCAATTAACAAACGGAGACGTAACAATATTTTGTTTTCATCAGTGCTGTACTGAAGAGGCTTATATCACAATTATATTTTGGAAATACATTTAAAAAGTGTCATAAATTACTATTAAAAGCTAAATTGATACATAAAATTATTTTACTTTCAAAATGTAAATGTGGTATGAAAAATATTTCTCTCACCATAAAAACTGAAATGAGGCGGATTGATGTGAATATTAAAGGCAGTCGGTTATGTTGCTTAGGTTACAAAGCCTGCATGGAACAATGTTTCTCGATAGTAAAATTGTTGATTTCTAATACTTAGTAGCATTAAAGTAAAAACAATATTAAACATGATACTGTTCTTAATTTAATAACAGTATAAATGTCTAAAATTGTCTTTACAAAATTTTCAGTTAGTTGTGTAATTTCTGTGGAAAATAATTTGTCAAATTAATAGGTGATATTGTTTGTTATTAAGCACAAAGCTACACAATGGTTTATCTGTGCTCTGCCAACCAGGAAAGTATCGAAACCCGGTTTCTAGCGTTGTAAGTCCGCAGACATGCTACTTTGCAACTGGGGAGAGGGGGGGCTAATACGTGATACCAGATATAGTACTCACGACAACAGGATATTTTATGGGCACAAGAGAAAGCCAATGAGTTCCATATAATATATACAGCTCATGGTGGAAACACCCAACTTATTACTTGAATTTCGTAAGCGATATACTTACTTTAAGGACAATCTTTTCTATAAAATTATTTATTTATCTGTATTAAACAATCCTGGCATACTTTACGATGAAGTTTACCTTTGTTTTAACACTGTTGTTAAGCAGAAATCAAGATCATTTGTTAAAATATCATATGTTTGAATTCGATAATTCAGAATATTAGTTTTGTACTTTAAATGGTTGTTTAGAACTCATAAAGTCGAAATCAGAGTTCTGTCGAAATCTCAAAACACAGAAAATAATATATACTAGCTGGAGTACCCGTCCCCTGGATGGAAGTAATGTAAATTCGTGAATAATGAAAAGTTACCTTAAGACATGAAAAGTTGCTTCACTCATATGTAATTGTACAAAACGTAAAAACTGCAAAATACAAAATGTGAAACCCCAAATTTCCATGTATATCCGCAAGAACCTAACAAACCTTCATGCCAAATTTGATAAAGATCCATTCAAAAGAGGTGAGGTAGCGATAAAAAACGCCCATAAAAAAACACAAAACTGGATATTTGTATGTATCTTCCCATGGACCCAGTGAACCTCCATGCCATATTTGGTGAAGAGCCATCTATTGGGGGCGAAGTAGTGGTATATAACGCAAAAACGCCCATAAAAAAACTCAAAACGCAAAAATGATTGTTTGTTTGACGTTAAGCACAAAGCTACACAATGGGCTTTCTGTGCTTTATCCACCATGGGTATCGAAACCCGGATTCTAACGTTGAAAGTCCGCACACATACCGCTGTGCCACTGAGGGGCAACTAATAAAGAAGATTCTTAAGTTTTCAAGTGTTTAGTTTTATTAGTACTTTTTTCATTTAACAGTCTCACTAAATCATAAACAATAAATGAATTACATAGCTTTATTTCCTTAATTTTTAATATATCAGAATCTGAAAACTCTATTTATAAGTTAATTAATAAAAATTTGAATTTCATAAACAGTTACAGGTGGAAAATGCTAAAGGTGTGGTGATACAGCGATACGATAAGATTGTCGTATCATGAAGCCGTGATACGAATGTATCGATACATCGTCCGATACGATACGATTTATGAGTCTTCATGAAATTTGGCAGATTTTCAGTAAACATTATAAGTCTTTTATACAGAAAAAAAATTAATTTCTTATGAAGTATTTTTGCTAAAAATTAATGATTCAGTAAAGGAACATGAGTATCGAGTACTACATGTTGTCTTCATTTCTTCGGTCAAAAAATGACATGCAAAGTAACAAATCAAATTGAAAATAGCAAAACAGATAGACAGAGATTAACTGCCATTTAATTAATCAAACCTGGGAATTTGAAAAAAAGTACTGTAAAGTGTGAATTACGTAAGTAAATAAGACAATGTTAAAAATATAGATAATAAATTGCAGACAAGACTGTAAAACTTGGTAACAAACCGTTGGTAAAATTTCTGTTTCTAGATACGTATTGTATCGACTACTATGATGAGATACGTACCCGTATTAAATAAATTGTTTGATTACATTCAATTGTTTTAATTCTTTAATCATGTTGCGTTGTCCTTGCATATTGTTGCGTCAGCGAGGTCACGTGACTAGTATCACGCCGCGCCCTTCTCGAACCTTCATGAATTATCTGGAGACTACTGGATTGGGGGTAGCCTGGTATATATGAGACGCTCACAACGTGACGGAACAGGGTAATGAGTAATTGAACTGCAGTCAGAGAGAATATTGTTAAGCACGTGAGAAGTCCGTTGAGAATTATAGCGTCTGTTACAGAGCGATTGTTGAAATTAAGTGTATCGTAAAGTTGTATTCGGAAAGAATAAACCAGTTTTATTTAAGAAAGGACTTGTGTCGCTAAAGTTTCGTAGGAACGAATTTACGGAAAATTAACTAACGAACGAGACGTAACAATATTTACTTTTTAGTTTCAAAAATCACTTCAGGATAAAAAAATTATTAATTTGTGATATGCAGATTTTTTGATGTATTAGTTTATTCTTATTTAAAATTTCTTCTGTACTTTGTATTACAAGAGCATAGTTTTACACAAGTTTTTCAGAATAAAGGAAAATGTTGTTGCGTCAGCGAGGTCACATGACTAGTGTCACGCCACCTCTCGAACCTTCGGGAATAG